AGATGTTCCCTGCCTGGAGGACACCCCAAAATCAGGGGAACCCCAAAAACCGGGGGGAAACCCTGGGCTGGGATCCCCCAAATCCTGGAATAACCCCAAATCCTGGGAAAAACCCCCAAATAATGGGAAAAACCCCAAATCCTGGGAAAAACCCCAAATCCCAGCACCCCGTAATCAGCCCGGGAGATGTTCCCTGCCTGGAGGACACCCCAAAATCAGGGGAACCCCAAAAACTGGGGGCACCCCCGGCCTGGGATCCCCCAGATCCTGAAATAACCCTAAAATCCCACAAAAAAACCCAAACCCTGGGGAAAAACCCCAAATCCTGGGAAAAACCCCAAATCCCAGCACCCCATAATCGGCCAGGTAGATGTTCCCTGCCTGGGAGACACCCCAAAATCAGGGTTTTGGGGTGATTTTGGGTTTTTAGGGATTTTGGGGTGCCCACCTCCATCTCCCGGCGCAGGGAGGTGCCCGGGCCCAGGCTGGGACCACCATGGGGGCGTTTGGTTGGGGTGTTTATTTGGGGTTTCTCTTTGGGGTTTTTGGTGGTTTTGGGGTGTTTTGGGGTGTTTTTGGGGTTTTTGGGGTGATTTTGGTGTTTTTGGGGTGCCCACCTCCATCTCCCGGCGCAGGGAGGTGCCCGGGCCCAGGCTGGGGCCACCATGGGGGTTTTAATTTGGGGTTTCTCTTTGGGATTTCTCTTTGGGGTTTTTGGGGTTTCTGTGGTTCCCAATTGGTATTTTTGGGGTGTTTTTGGGATTTTTGGGGTGATTTTGGTGTTTTTGGGGTGCCCACCTCCATCTCCCGGTGCAGGGAGGTGCCCGGGCCCAGGCTGGGGCCACCATGGGGGCGTTTGGTTGGGGCGTTTATTTGGGGTTTCTCTTTGGGGTTTTTGGGGTTTCTGTGGTTCCCAATTGGTATTTTTGGGGTGTTTTTGAGGTTTTTGGGGTTTTTGGTGTTTTTGGGGTGCCCACCTCCATCTCCCGGCGCAGGGAGGTGCCCGGGCCCAGGCTGGGGGCCACCATGGCCTCGCTGACGGGGAAGTTGGGGGGCAGGCGGCGGCAGCGGCGCAGCAGGACGGGGTTCACCCCGCTCAGGAACTGCTCCCCGAAAAACGCGTCCTCCTGCCAGTGCCGCAGCACGTACTCTGGGGACACAGGGGACACTTGGGGACACCTGGGGACACTTGGGGACACCCCCCAACTCCTGCGACACCCCCAGGACCCTCCCCAGTAACCCCAGAGTTTTGGGATCCCCGAAATCGCCTCTGGGATCCCCCAAATTTTTGTGTCATCCACCCCAAATGTCCCCTGTGTCACCTCCTGGGTCCCTCCGATGTCCCCAATGTCCCATATCCTCAAAATGTCCCCCACTGTCCCCAATGTCCCCAATCCCCCAATGTCCCCAGTGTCCCACAGTGTCCCCAATGTCCCAAATGCCACAACGTTCCCAATGTCCCCAATGTCTCCCTGATGTCCCCAATGTCCCCAGTCCCAGCAATGTCCCCAGTGTCCCCAAATGTCCCCAAATCCCCCCAAT